ATACTTGAACGTTGTAGAGGTGTTCTCAACACCGGACGCCTGGTGCCCACGCGGCCAATGGACAGAGCTAGCTACAATGAAGCAGCCTCGCGGACATTTCACCCTTTTCACCTCCGCCAGCGGCGCGGTGTTTGCTCTCGGTGGTAAGGACGCCTGCTTTTCTTTGCCCTGCAATGTTGCAGAACTTCAGCGCAGTCTTTGCCTCTGTTTCATAAAGTGGATAATGTTCTCTCCGTATCGTATTTTTTTTAAATCACTTACAACTACTTTGACAAGACTTCCGGGGTTTTTGCATTACTTTGCCATTTTAAACTCGGCGTCTCCTTTAATTTTAAAGATAGATCTAGATATGGACTTTTTTCTAAACTTGCAGGCAGTGACATTGCGACTAAAAACACTGTGGAGACTTTGACCGCACCTGACGGTTCACCTGACTCCGGCAATGACCCGAAGTCTTGGGTCTGGTCTTTGAAGAACCCATTGGAAACTTTTAGTGACATTTGGGGAGCTGCAAGTATTCGCATGTAAACTTCAGCGTTTTTGAGTCTTCTTCGCAGTGCTCCCCATTGTCTTCAAGTTAAGAATAAAAAATTTTCAATTAAATCTGCCATGCCATTTGTTTTTGAAAGTGATGGAAAGATGTATGGTTTCCAGCATCTGGGGAGGAAATTAATAAAGATCATAGTGGGTATCCGTTCGCTAATTCAGTGCAAACCTTTAGTCAAATGAAAAATCCACGGGTGTGGGCGTTAATATGGAGGATAGATTTTATACGTAGAGGAGCGGGGTAGGGAAGTTATACGAGTCAGTATTATTTTCCGAAAAATAAAAACGCTGGATAGTAAATACCTTTTGGCTCAGTGAATATTCGGAAAATCTTAAGGAGAAGCAATTTTGTTCGATGGAAGAAATAGCAACGTATTTTAAAAATGCATAACTGCAAAAAGCAACATATGAAGCTTTTTCACATAGAAGTGTGCAAAGACTGTATTTGCTATGCGACTGCACAGCCAATGACGTTGATACATCTTGCCTTCATGACAAGTACTGACTATCCACACCTGAGTAATTATTTTTCGATTTAGCAGTTTTGTCTTATATGGTTGAACCGATCTCGCACAGGTGTAAGCGAAGCAAATACACCCGGTAAGATGGAACGCTATTTGCAGTGACAAGTTTTGGACACACAGTCAAATTAGTTTGTATTCTGTGGTCTCCTAAAACTGTTCCAGCTCAACGAAATAACCCCTGTGAGTTA